TTTAAAAAATTTAGGTAATCCTAATAGTGAAATAGATTTATGTTGCTGTAATAAATATTTTATTTTGCTTTTTATATTTAATATTATGCAAGTACTTTTAATTATGAAACAGGCAATTAGATAACAATTCTCAATTAGCCTTACTACAGAATCTTATTTCCTTATGTATAACTTACTATTAAATAAAATTTTATAAAGTAGTCAGCCACACACAGAAGTACAAAATCAAACTCAGGAACCACCAAAACCCACTTGCAAGCAATCTTACTCAAAGCACTGGAACCCAGCGACTCAAAAGGAACTATATAAACCCGACTATTAAAGAATAATGTCCGACATGGAAACGAAATTGGACGAAGCTTTGGATAAGGACAATTAATTATCTATTTTCTCTTCTTATACAGTAATTAGCAGCGATAATTTATTGTTAGTTCTAAGTTGATTTTTAGAAGATTCAATAAAATTGATGTTTTTAATTTTTTCAAAGTAAGATTCGTAGAACTGATCCTCTTCACTTATATCATTTCGAAACAAATACCCTTTCTCTATCTGCCCTTTTTCATTTCGTTGTTGTTGTAACCAATCCATTTTCACAGCCGACCAGGCACAGTTCACTCTTTCAAACAAGTTCAGGTCGCTTCTCTATCACAAATTTTAACTGTGAAGAGTTAGGACAGTTTCACTTCACTGACAATGTGATTAAGATTTCAATTATAATAAGTATTTAAGTTTCAACTTGGACCATGTCGATCATCATTACCATACTTTTCCATATGTAAAACCAGGACAGGGCGCTGGTTTATGGGCGCGCTTTATGCCTGTTGTAACATTGAATGAACGACAAATGAATTTCTTATAAAAGTATTTGTTGTATAAAATAAAAATTAACGTAAATTTTATTAATATTAAAATTAATGTATAATTAAATATAATATGTTATTTAGTTTACAAAATATTAATCTCAGTTTGTTTAAATAGCATTTTATGCTTCGCCAAAGATTCTAGGTGGTCTTAAATCATAAGTGGATCCACTAGGGATCGCCAGTATAACCTAACCTTGCATAGGTTTATCTGACTGGTTAGAAACTTCATATATGGTAGACCTAAAGGTTCCGGACAAAAATGTCTACTTCAAATCTTTACTATATGCAGATTTGTAGTAGACATTTTCACGAATCTAAGGAATTTATAAAGCTTTATTGCCGATCCTCTTTACCCTTGAACCCGTAACTCTTTGCCGTGCATTTTTAGGAGTATTTGTAGACGAGAGTGTTTGTAGATAGATTTAAAAACATACCCAATGCGCTGAAGTTTCCAGCACACAAGCATCGTGCTATCAGAGGGAAAATTATAAATTAAAAACTAAAGTTTGTATTAATGAATAATTAGTTCTTCAATATTTACCATAGTTTATATTAAATGATGATACCAGAAAGGATTCTAAGAGATCAAAAAAAAAAACTCTAGATTATATGTTCGTTAATAGTTTATTCAAAAAATTTATAAAATGTAACGAGATTAAAAAAGTGTATGAGTTTTCAAAAGGAAATCAATTCGCAAAAACAAACTTAATGGATACGATAATATTATTATAATATTCTTATTCTATAAAATATTCAAACAAAAACAGATTCATATTTTGGTAAATTATTTCAGGAACATTTGGAATGTCCTCATAGGAAAAATATCCACAACATTCGAGTTGTGAGGTAAAGTACACCAAACAAAAATGGAATCTAAATGTTTTTGTTTGAATTAAATTCAAATTTTTTAAATTTCATTTGTTTTTTATATAAAAATATTCAAATTAAAGCAAATAGTTACTAAAAGTTTGTTCTTTAAACTCAAGTATGAGGTATTGTTTTAGCACTTATGTTACCTCAGTGTGCAACAAATTAAATAAAAAGTGAATTTGTAGCGTCTCCACCGCCGTCAATATAAAAAAAAAATTAAATATAATTATAAGGAAAAAATATTTCTTACAACAAATATAAATTCTTTTCGAGTGCAGTAGATGGAGCACGGTTGATGTTCTCACCTACCAAGAATGCCAATTTATGAGCATACTGACACACTGCTGGTACGCGGCAGGTACCAGCCCAATTATAATACCATATATGTGCGTCATTTTATAAGTTAGCATTTGAATATGTTCTGGCTTAAATCCAGTTGTATCGTGTATAACGTTGTAGTTGGTAGGTGAAACCGTACCTTGGAATATAGACTGCGACACTAAATAAAAGTCAACGCTCTGGTAAAGTAATAATATCGTCCACAACGGTACCAGGTGGAGGATTGCGACCTTTGAGAAAGTATCGCGTGTTGATTCTTTTAGATGCAACTATAAATGCGAAGCGTGGACGTGCACTTCCAACGCTACTATATATTTCGTCTAATCTATTGACTAGAGCTTTAACTTCATGGTTTACAACTTGGTGCAGCTGACCATCACCAACTCCGTCACGATAAAATACTATACGTTCAGGCAAGCATTGATGCTCCTCTTTAAATGCCCGTAAAGCGTTCGCTACACTTAGCGTTAAATAATTTGATAATTCTTGGCCTTCTACATATTCTTGGACTAATGAATAATATCTTGATAACTTCTTTATGTCCATTGTTGAAACAAATGCGCCATATGAATTATGTTTATTTTTAGTTGAATGATATACATCAAAACCGCATGTCATAATACCAAGATTAGGCATATCAATCATCCATGGAGTTCCACGCAATTTAGCGTTCATTTGTATGACAACCTTCGTTGCTATTGACATTAGACCAGCCGATTTTTCTGGACGAGGTGCAATAACCTTCATAGTCACAACTTGTGAAGCAACTATTCTATCAACGCAACATTTTTTCTTAATTACAGCATATCTGCAAATCAATAAATAATATCAAAAATGTCGTGATTATTTAGAAATATTTAATATTTACTTTTCTTCGTTGGGACTGAAAAGAACCGCCATAACGATCTGCGGATCTTGAGATGCAGCAGCATATATAGCTGAAGCATAAGAATTATTTCTGTCATCCTGCATTTCGATACTTTAAAATAAAATACAAAAGAACATTAAAAAAAACATCAAAATAGCTGAATATGTAAATACTATATATATTGTAATTGCGATATAATTATGGTGGATAGGTGACTTTAAATGTCATCATACGAGTTAGAATTGAAAAAGATCTACGTCCCAGATTTTTGTGAGTTGGGCACAAAAACATATCGTTCAAATATATCTAAAGGTCTGTTTAAGCAAAAGATTTTGGAATTACTTATCGTGGAACTGTACTATTTGCAATCAAAACACGTTACGAGCATGGCAAGCTTAACCAAAATATATCCCCAATCCCTATAATCTTCCCCACCTTGACTCATCAATCACCCACCCACATCCTAAAAAACATGTATTGTCGTGTAATTTCTTCTTCTTTACAAATACGCACTGGTTAATATGACATCAACATGATAACATGGTCACAAACGCTTGGTCGTCGGGATAGACAAATGGCTCCAGGACATACATTCCCGAAACTAAGTTCCTCTAACGCGGCCCACACTAAAATTCAGTCCTTTTCATACAGTTTAAAGACAAGTATCTTTATTCTGTCTTTTATTCTGCTGACTTTTGCAATAAAGATGCCTAAAGATGAAGATGATGGCAAACCAAATCCCAAGCGTATTATTAGGATTGCCAGTATAAACTTACCTAAAATATGTTGAACGAACTAAATATATGTTGAACGAAAAAAATGATGAACCAAAAAAAATTATGAACCAAAAAAGTGGCTGACCAAAAATATGTTTGACTAAAAAAATGATTGACCAAAAAGTGACTGATGAAAAATATGTGTGACCAAAAAAAAATATATTGAAACGACCACATCGCTTAGTGTTTTAAAATATATTTAAATAACTGAACTAGTTATTCAGATATACACATTCAGTTAATTACTTACTACTTTGGTTCATCAATTTGCATCGTCACGCCGCTAGCTACACGTTGACATGTTTTAACGAAGTTCTGAGCTTCACGTACATTCCGTCCAGAAATATTGACCTCATGGTAAAATACTTCCAGAAATGGAAGATTAAAATTAACAATAACAAAACCAAGGCTATATTCATAATACGAAAGAGAAGGCAGCATCCTCCAAGAGTGAGCGTCGGTTACACGGATTTATTGTGGGAGGTAAGCATAAAATATCTGGGGTCACATTTGACAAACGGCTCAATTGGTATAAACAAATGAAATGCGAACGGAATAGCTGCTCAAAAAATCCTACATTTTCTAAAGCCGCTGTTCAATAATAATCACTTCAACCTCAAAAGTAGAAAGTTACTACATACTCAAATAATTAGGCCACCACTACTGTACGGATGTGTTACATACAGCAAAGCCTCAGATACTGCCATGATTCCATGGTATATTAGAACAACAGACACAGTTACTACATACTCAAATAATTAGGCCACCACTACTGTACGGATGTGTTACATACAGCAAAGCCTCAGATACTGCCATGATTCCATGGTATATTAGAACAACAGACATGCAGAGAGATGTAAGGATCGACTCAGTGAAAAAATATATCAGGGACAGAGCCCTAAAATTATTCACAAAAGTTGATACGCTGCCCCACCACGCTCTAACAAACCTCAAGTCCACCTCAGAACCCACAGGAAGATATGCTGACCTACGGTCCGTCATCAGTTATACAATAAATAAACGATATGAATTCCAGTATAGTTAAAGCTTAGAGAGGGACAGAGATAAGCGCCCTAGCCACAAAACAGTCTCAAAAAAGCAAAAGTGCGTAATAGCTTTAACTGAAGAAACCACAACAACAACAATAACATATATTGTAAGAGTCACTGGATTTGTTAGACATGCCACCACCACACATTCTATGACTGTAAGTTGGATCGCCGGTTATTTTACTTCTATTTTACCATCAATAAGTCGGAAGGCCAAACGATGTCTGCTTACGGCTTAGGTTTGGACACGTGGCATGTTCTCGCGTGGGCAAACTATCAAGCCTATGTGTGTTGGCTAAAGACGAATAAACATATTACTTCTTGAATCTAAATTTAACTTTTAAGAGATCAAACAAGGAATATGTCCGTTATTTTAATGAAATATATTGAATCAAGAAAACGAATGGTTGGTGTTTTTTCCTTTTGATCGGCGATCATCGTCTACAGCGCTCAATTCCTCTTTTTATCTTACAGCACATTGTCACACAATTACAATACATTCATTATCATTCATTTAAAAAAAAATAATAATCACTTGAACTAATTTATATGGCAAAACAACGCTTGCCGGGATATCTAGTATTTCATAAATTTTTTTTTAAACAAAAATTTAAAAATGAATAAATAAAGTTGCTATTGAGACTATATATTTGTTATTTGTTATAAGAGAATTTCTCCTTACTTGTTTGTAGTAATCTACGAATGTGACATCTTTTTCCTTTCGTTTGAAAGTGGATTTGGGCGACATACCGAAATCTACATCACCCTCATAGAGTAGAGGCTGAAATCGAGGGTTGATTTCATGTTCAATGTTAATGGTTGAGTAACTTGTCTCTGCAAACTCCTTCGGAAGTTTTCTATTTGCTTCAACTGGTTTGGAACTGTTTTTGTTTTTATTAACATCTTTTCCTGCTGAGGCATTCCCATCGTTTGTACTATTTGCATTTTCAAGAAGAACAAATTTCTGTCTTGCTCTTAAGAATTGTTCACTTGTTAAGGGGCAACCATTATTTTGAAATATTGTATCTCCTCCATATTGTCTATCCTTAGGTGACACAGACGTTCCATCACCTTTATATTTTAATGTTATACCAAAGAATCTATAGTACAAAGAAGTGCCACGCTCATACAAACGAAATACCCACTTTATTTTGCTGGTGGATTTATAATAAATCCACCCAACCTCATGCAACAATGTTCGATCGAGTCACAACTGGTATGATGTTCAGTTCAAACTCATTGCAACCCACAATTGTTTTTATATGCCTGTTTCTTTTGCCTTTCTTGTTTTTATTTGTCTATTTAATTCATATACATGGATTGGTAACGAAGTGAATAGTAAAGAAATCCCTCAAATAATTTTTCGATATACTTTGTTGCTTTATTTTCTTGTACTGAAAAGGCTCATATCATAGGAGTAAAGAATAATAGAATATATTTTTTTTTTATTGCAAAAAATGATGCACTACAAAATCTATTATGTATGTACAAATGTGATATTGGAGACATTAAGTCTGCAGTACATAAATAGGTATGTTTTTATTGCACATTTGTGCATATATTTTACCTCAAAAGGAACTACTTCTTAATAGTTTGAATTTTTGGTGACTTTTTGTAATTATTTTAAAAAATATTTGCAAGATTCATATAAAAGTTTTTGAAAAGTATTTTAAAAAAAATAAAAATATTAGAAATGTAAGAAAAATTTTAATGCAAAAATGTGTAGAAGTCACTAAAACCACTATTAATGCCTCCTGGTTTAAGGAAACGCATGAATGCTATTTACACCGGATTGAAATGTTAAAATTGGTGATTACGATATTGCTTCGGAAATATTGCGCATGAACAATATTTAAGAATAAAGCTTCATAGAATTGAAGAAATCAGATGTGAGACATAAATAAATTTGTAATGTATTTTAACACTACATTCATACCAATAGCAAACAGGGAATTTTGTTTTTGTTTTATACTATTAAATTCAAAAACTTATCAAATGTATACAATTTTGACTTCGTCACTGAAATGCTGTTTGATCGCTTGAACATTTTACAGCGAACAAACATACAAACATGCATATAATGTAATACAGAGGGTTGCATGTATGATTGAATACGTATGCAGTCAGGTTTTTGTCAGCCTTACTCGACTCACATATAGGTTTGAACTGAACATCATACCAGTGGTGACTCGATCGAACATTGTCGCATGAGGTTGGGTGGATTTATTATAAATCCACCAGCAAAATAAAGTGGGTATTTCGTTTGTATGAGCGTGGCACTTCTTTGTACTATAGATACTTTGGTTATACTTTCAGGTTTAGTGGCATTGCCAGATATCGAACTTTTAATCATTTTCACTTGTTTATTAAATGATTATGTATTAAATATCTAGTATACGTCAGGCCAACAATTCTTGTTACAAAACTCGTGTTCTAAAGCAAAATTTATTACGGAGAAAAAAATTTTTAGCATATTACTAGACAAACTCAATTTTTAGAATTGTTTCATTGATTTCACATATTCCATATTATTATGTTATTTGTTTATTGAACGTTTTCTCGAAAGACGTTATCTCAAGACTCTCTAAAATAAGTTTATTAGCATTTACAGTCATTAACTGAGTATTTGTAATTTATACAAAACTGTCAGTATCTGTCATGCAGTTTTACTACATGTTTGATATCTGATCTACAAGAACGATGTCATAAAAAATTATTAAAACTTACACTCAACAAAACTTCCTGCGGGAATAAAAGTCACATTTCGAAATAGACATATTTTATATTAATTCTGTTGAAGTGTATATAAAGTCACCAGAATTCGCGTATTCAAATGGCGGATCCGTGCACGTTTCTCAAAAATGGGTGGTAGAGGGAAAATTAAATTCTTTACGAATGAATTTTTTTCTTCACATAGGCCGAAACAACCTCTCGACATTGGCTGAGGCCGCCTAAACCTGGTGCTCTATATGCTTTCAAAGGAAAGCCTGTCGGCGGAAAAATAGAAAAAAAGAAAAAACAAAGCCAGTGACCGCGAAGGTCAGCTCCAATCTCGCAGACAGACTACTGTGACAATAATCAACCATTGTTATTTTATATACATATGTAGTAGTCTGCAGAATACTTTTTTTACAACCTAGTATGAATACTATAGGTATAATAAATTTTTATACACTAAGAGCTTGAGTCAACGTTTAGGTTATGAAATCTCAAAGTGAACTTTACGACTTTCGTTCTTTGACTTTAGCACATTGATTAATGGAGTCTTAAAACAACCGATAAACTTACTTTGGATCCCAATTAGAAGTTTATGTCCCAACGAGAAATTGTTGTTAAGCGTGAATTACGATTTATTATATATAGGAAAACGTGATGGTTGCATTCCGAATGTTATCTTCGGGCTCTATATTCTTGTACACCTTGTCAATGGCACGTTAGCAAATATCTTATTTCCTTATATACTTCTTTATACCCTAAATATTAAAAAATTTTGTTGAAGAAAGTTCGAAACATGTTTTGAAGTGACCGGAAATTTTGAATAGATAAACACAAAATTGTTTCTGAAAAATTATGAAGAAAATGTTGTCAAATATGCTAAGTCAAAACTTTTTAAATCTCAAGGAAAACCTGATTTAATTTGTTTTTCAGATTTAAAATTCAAAGGAAGTGTAATTTCGTTTCCAGTAGGTTGAATCCATGTTGCTGAAGAAAGTTCTATTGGATATGTCTTTATAAACTGTGTAACGTAGCAAAAAAATCATTACGTATCTATCAATAATAAAAATAAATATGGTAGCCTTAATACAATATAATTTTATAACGTGGATATGGCAATTCTTGTCCATAACTTATTGAAAAAATTCTGTTAATCACAGAATACAATTGTATTCTGAAATTGTTTTGAGCCGTCGATTCATTTGTAGAACGACATAAAACTAATGTGGCTTCATTATATAAAACCTCTATACGACACTTAATTATAATAGACTTTTATATATTTATGTTACTTTGGATACGTATCTAACTTATGAGTTTTTTTTATATTATTTTATTTTGAAAAAATAAAAAACCTTTTTTTAATTTTTACATCAGCAGAAGCCGAATTTATTGTTGTAAATGGGTAGAAAGTTAATTTCAGACCCTGCATTGGATTGAAAATTTGTGGTATTATATAACATATACTATTAAAATACTATTTTGCTATTTTGTATGCAAATATGTTTAGTTGTACCTCTTATATGTAAGTATGTTAAGTTATACCTATATCTGCTCGTTGTATAACCTTTCTACATCTAATAATAGCATTTGCTAATTATATGGATTTTGTATTTAAAAGTTGCTGTCTTCTGTTCTGGAATGTTCATAAATCAAATGATTAAAATGTGTGTATTATAGTTTATTTTATTCAGAACTAAAATATGGAATTGAGTGTAGGGTGGGGTGTAGGGACATATATTTATAATACTAACGATTCAAAATATGTCACTCGACTTATAAACAATAAAATGCGGCTTCGGCATAATGTCTTAATTCTTAACATAATGTCTTAACATAATTTTTGGGAATTTGAAAATGTTGCCATTAAAATATTTTTTTATTATTGTAGATTACTAAATTCATCCACTTATTCACTTACAATAATAATTATAAGGTTAGTTATCATTTTAGTAAGGTCTTCTTACAGAATACAAACGCATTTTTTGTTTTCAATTTGAATAAAACTCAAATGTATAAATGAAATCATAAAACTAAGCACATTAATTATAAAACTTTATTAAAAAACAATTCTTACAAGTTATACAAGAAAATTGAAATCTATAATTTTTCTATAATATAAAAAATAAAAAAAAAATTTTAAGGAAAATAAAATATTATATTACTCATAACAAGTATAAATTTAAACAAAATTCTGTGTATGACTTAGTTGGTGCCAAGTTCCTGATCCAATGATTTACACTTGATGCCCGTTTAGTAACTGCATGTTTAGGTCTTTGACCTATAACTGTAAGTGAGTTGGTGCGAACATTGTCTGTACGGTTTTCATATTTTTTGTGATCGCTACTACCTTTTATTGCAGTCAATTTTGATTATTTCCTGAGACTGCTTATTTTATCAAGACCAAAATAAAAGGATGAATTAAAATGTAATTTTATATTTTGTAATAACCTTTGCCGGCCCTTTCCAAAGCTGGGGTATACTCAGAGTATAGCAGAGTTAAACACAAGACTTAAAAAATTTGTTTAGTTGTTTTTTAAATATAGATATTAAGTCAAAGATCTCTTTTCGGCTCATTCTGCTCACAACTCATGAGGCGGCAAGAAGCTCTTCTCATACGATGGCTCACGATCGAAGATTTGTACGAAGGTGTGACATTTTTAAAAAATTGAGTTAAACCTAATAGTGAAATAGATTTATGTTTTATTATATATTATGCCAGTACTTTTAAATATGAAACAAACAACTAGATAAAAATTCTCAGTTAGCCTAACCACAGAATCTTATTTCCTTATGTATAACTTACTATTAAATAAAATTTTATGAAGTAGTCAGCCACACACAGAAGTACAAAATCAAACTCAGGAACCACCAAAACCCACCTGCAAGCAATCTTACTCAAAGAACTGGAACCCAGCGACTCAAACAGAACTACATAAACCCGGCTATTAAAGAATAATGTCCGACATGGAAACGAAATTGGACGAAGCTTTGGATAAGGACAATTAATTATCTATTTTCTCTTCTTATACAGTAATTAGCAGCGATAATTTATTGTTAGTTCTAAGTTGATTTTTAGAAGATTCAATAAAATTGATATTTTTAATTTTTTCAAAGTAAAATTCGTAGAACTGACCCCCTTCACTTACATCATTTCGAAACAAATACCCTTTCTCTATCTACCCTTTTTCATTTCGTTGTTGCTGTAGCCAATCCATTTTCACAGCCGACCAGGTACAGTTCACTCTTTCAAACAAGTTCAGGTCGCTTCTCTATCACAAATTTTAACTGGAAAGAGTTAGGACAGTTTCACTTCACTGACAATGTGATTAAGATTTCAATTATAATAAGTATTTAAGTTTCAACTTGAACCACGTCGATCATCACTACTTTTCCATATGTAAAACCAGGACAGGACGCTGGTTTATGGGCGCGCTTTACACCTGTTGTAACATTGAATGAACGACAAATGAGTTTCTTATAAAAGTATTTGTTGTATAAAATAAAAATTAACGTAAATTTTATTAATATTAAAATTAATGTATAATTAAATATAATATGTTACTTAGTTTACAAAATATTAATCTCAGTTTGGTTAAATAGCATTTTATGCTTCGCCAAAGATTCTAGGTGGTCTTAAGTCATGAGTTTTTCTTATATATACGGTAATACAATCGGCCTATAGGCCTAAGTGGATCCACTAGGGATCGCCAGTATAACCTAACCTTGCATAGGTTTATCTGACTGGTTAGAAACTTCATATATGGTAGACCTAAAGGTTCCGGACAAAAATGTCTACTTCAAATCTTTACTATATGCAGATTTGTAGTAGACATTTTCACGAATCTAAGGAATTTATAAAGCTTTATTGCCGATCCTCTTTACCCTTGAACCCGTAACTCTTTGCCGTGCATTTTTAGGAGTATTTGTAGACGAGAGTGTTTGTAGATAGATTTAAAAACATACCCAATGCGCTGTAGTTTCCAGCACACAAGCATCGTGCTATCAGAGGGAAAATTATAAATTAAAATACTAAAGTTTGTATTAATGAATAATTAGTTCTTCAATATTTAGTTTATATTAAATGATGATACCAGAAAGGATTCTAAAAGATCAAAAAAAAAACTCTAGATTATATGTTCGTTAATAGTTTATTAAAAAAATTTATAAAATGTAACGAGATTGAAAAAGTGTGTGAGTTTACAAAAGGAAATCAATTCG